TACATAAAATATATATTATATAATATATATATATATATATATATATCTATATACACTTAAATATAAAAGTAGAAATGCTATGGTGCAGACTATCTTCTTTATTTTATGTTATTATATTTTATGTTATTATATTTTATGTATTTGTATTATTTATTTTATTTATTTAGACTGCACATAGAAATAAATAAAGAGAGACAGCTGAATTAAACAAATAAAGAAGACAGAAGAAAGCGGTGGGGAGACAGTGAAGAGACAAACAAATAAAAATACAAAGGAGACAGTTAAAATTTACAAACCCTAAACCCTAAACCCTAAACCCTAATCTGCATTAGGCGGAGACGAACAGAACAAATTGAGGAGACAAAAAGAATTATAAAAAAGCAGAGTTGAGCATACACCTGATGCATATATATTAGGGTTTTAAAGAGGGGTTTCAGGTGTCTCCGCAGCTCGCTGCTTTCAAAACCCTAAACCCTAAAACTTCAGGTGTCTCCGCAGCTCGCTGCTTTCAAAACCCTAAACCCTAAAACCCTAAACCCTAAAACCCTAAACCCTAAACCAGCAAAGAGAAGAGCAGCAGCGAGGCTGTATTTAAAGGGTTTATTCGCTGTGCAGCTGTAATTAAAACCCTCTTCAAATATACACCTAGGGTTTAAGGTTTACACTTTAGGGTTTAGGGTTTAGGGTTTAGGGTTTAGGGTTTAGGGTTTAGGGTTTGAGGTAGCAGCCTCGGGGGGCCCCACTGAGCATTTAGAGTTATATTTTTTTGTATCTCTCTCTGCATAATTAGTTTTTTGTTTATTTTAATTATTTATTTATTTATTTATTTATTTATTTTCTGCTGTATGTAAGCCTCGGACATCTCTCGATGTTATATAGAGGGGTTTTGGGTCTGTAGATTTTTTGTAGTTTTTATTATTAATGCAGCAAACCCCTAAACCCTAAACCCTAAATAAATGAGTTTATTAAATACAAGACAGCTCTGTCTTTCCTTCTCAGGCAGAGAGTCAGGGAGGCAGCAGCAGCAGCGATGTCTACGTGCAGCTGCGCTGCAGCAGCACGC